CATACAATTCCATCCAATACGATACCAACTGTTGATTGATTGATATTAGAGGCAAAAATTAACCATGTTATTACAGGGGTCCATACAATTCCATCCAATACGATACCAACTGTTGATTGATTGATATTAGAGGCAGAAATTAACCATGTCGTTAAAGGGGTCCATACAATTCCATCCAAAACGATCCCAAATGTTGGTTGATTGTTATTAGGGGCAGATATTAATCATGTTGTTGGTTACTGTTAACAATTGGAAGCATTATGTCAAGTTGTAGAAAAAAAAAATCATACAGCAGAATGTAAACTGCAAGTTTATTTTCTGTAGATCATGATTTATCTCTTATATTAATCACTGATATTTAAATCTTTCAACGCCCGAAATGCAGTACACATTTCTGAAGTGTAGTAAACGTACGTACACAAAAACCATGCCAAAGTTCACAATGACACAGAAAGTGTACTTTCATACCCCTAAATGTACTTTCGTCCTCGATCCCATTTGGCATCAGAAATGGAATTATAGGAACCCTTGCTTCCAAACTCTTCAGGTACTTCCAAGCTATTCAGTATTCAACAACTTATTCTGAACCCTTCCCAACCTTAAATCAAACAAAACCCAATTAATCCCAAACTATAACTCACTAAGGACTATGCCGAAGACTACTTCTAATTGCATAAGGGTAAAAAAAAGATCTCACAAAAGATAAATATTTGCAAATACAATTCTATGATGGGGTCTTTGGAAATATCAAAAACAAAACAAAACAAAAAAGGTTTTGATCTAAAAACCTGATTTGGCATCTCCACCAGAATCCACCACAGTACCAGACACATCCCTACCAAGAACCAGAGGAAAACTAGAACTACCAGATCCAACTAAGCCTAAAATATCAGATTCTGACTTCCAGTTACGCACAATTCACTCGAACTATTTCTGTAGCAATAAATCCGCAAGTTCTTTTTGAAATCCAGCCAGAATTAAGGCAAAAGTTTTTCAAACAGAATAACATGTATATATATTTTCTTCTTGATCTGACAAAGCTTTTAAAGGTAACGTTATATATCAGACAACCATTCTACAGAGGGGTTACTTGCATTACGTCCACATTCCCATTAAGATAAAGCATAAGAATGAAATTGTTTTGTTTTTCATTCAAAAATATCAGAAACGGATGTTTTCTGTTGACGCTTAAACTGTGCATGGTAGAAATTCAGAACTGGCCTGACTGAGCAATTCTTAAGGATTCCAGTACGTTGGAACCATATCCATCAGCCATTCGTTTATCCAGAGGATTGAGACTGGAACTCTGGACTTTAACAAGGACCTCTCGAGGACATCTAAAAATGTAGAAAACTTTTTAAACCCTTTTTGTAAAACCTTTTTAAAACCAATTGTCTGAATATCGCCCCCCCCCCCTGTCCCGGCTTCGTAGAAAATTCAGCTGTATTTATAATATGGTGCTGAAATTGTTAATTTTTTAGCGAAAAAAACGATTTTTGGGTAAAACTAACTAAAATGGAGGAGGAACCTTTTAAGTTGAGGTCCAATTTTTAATTCTTTTCCCAGACTTATCGAAAATTGTTTCCATTTTTACACCCCCCAACCCCCCTAAGAGTAATTCTTCAAGTATGTACCTTAATTCTAAATCTAATATATTTGTACTCTTCTTATCTATATATACATCAAGCATTCATCTCTGTTTTCGTCTCTTAGCTTAAGATTTGAAAATGATAAGTTGAGTATAGATCGTCTTTCATAGACAAAGATTAGTTTCCAGGCAAAGCTGGGTTTCCAATAGACATGAATTAGATAGAATAGATTTTGAATCAAATTGCATCTAATTTTCACTGTATTATATTCTATGTATTACAAATAATTTTATACTTGCCTAATCACTGGTGTTTTGGACTCAATAACATGCGCAGACTTTAATCCAGAGTACCCTTCCAATATACATTTTTTTGACAATCGTTTCATTTTGTTTCTAAAATATATATTAAATCATACTTTAAGTGTAAAAAATATAGATTTCGTGAGCATTATTCTAAATTATTTATAAATAAATCTATATATGAGTAGTAATCTCAGTTTGTCTGTTGGTATATGTTCAATCTATCCATCCAGCCAGTCTATAGTTACTACACTTAACCCTAACTTACCCCATCATCAAAAAATGTGCAAGTACACTTTTGTATTATTTCGGGGTTAGGTTAGCTGCATGCAACATGTTCAACCTTTAATGCACATCTCGGAGCCCTCGGTCCCTAGCCTCTCCCAGCCGAGGCGCTCTGCCTCCTAGACTGTCCTAGCTATTGCGCTCGGTCACCAAGCCTTATAAAGCCTCAACGCTCTGCCAAGAATTGTTACTTAGTTATAACCTGCCCTAACCCTGAAATAATACAAAACTGTCATGTATATTTTTTATAAAGGGTTGACGGCCCGTCCAAAACTATTTTTCTGGAAAATTACTAGATATTTTACTGGAAATATGAAAGGCATATTAAAGAACTAGGTTTCTGAAGGTATAGTAAAAAAAATTGTATTCAAGAAGAGTTTTAGCAAATTTTCAAAATTTCAACGATTCATTGCAATTTAAGTTTTAAGCAAAAAATGTGCAAAAAAAGTGCGCAAAATATAATATATTATAAATTTTGGAAAGCCCTTACCACGGCGAATCCAAATATGCAAAAATATTTGAAAATTTTCAAAACCTAACCTTTTATTCAAGGATAATTGAAAATGTGTAAATATTTTTTGACGGCATCTGTTCAAAAACTATGCAAAATTTCTTTGCAAAAGTTTTGGAATCGGAGGCTTCCTTTCCTTCAAGGCTTTCCAAAGAGCTGAAAAAAATCAAAATCAAATGACCGGCTTAAAGGGAGTGGCCGGCTATGTAAGGTAGTTCAACTGAGGAGGCAGTGTTGTGGAAAACTTCTTTAGGATTCATTTGAGACATATTTCACTTTTTAAAAGTCTGTAAATCCTAAGTTTGGGCGCAAATTCAACGTTCAAAACTCCTTATTTGGGGGTGGATACGCTTTCAGAATTTTTTTTTTTTAATTATTAATTAACGACGACATAAAATGTAAAAATATTCTACAATAAACTACAGACGTCATGTTTAGGAACATTTTGAGAAAATGAAAATTAATCTTATCATCGAAAATAAGTAATCTTGTTCAATTATTAGTTTCTATTAACTATTATTCTAGTTTCTCGTTATTCACAAAGATGTTCGCAGATTTTCTGTAACTATTATTGAAAAGACGACATTTAAAGAATTTGAAGAAATCTGCGAATAAATTCAAAGAAAATTAGAAANTCAGGCTGTGTATAGTATTGCTATAGAAAATAAATTAAACTGTCGATTGATTGATAGTGAAGTCTTACCATTTCAATCCAAGTCACTCATTTAACTTAAACATAACATTAGAATAGAATTAGTACGGAATGTTTACAGTGTACAGAAGCAAAGGTTATTGTAAACAAAGGAAAGCTGGAGTAAAAAATCACACAACCTCGACAATGGAAAAAGAATAAAGTGGGAAGGGAATATTCCTTGTTCTCCGCTCCTTCTATCCCCTCCAGTATTCTCCCTCTATCCCCTCATGTATTCTGTATTTATCACCTCCGATATTCTCCATCTATCCCCTCCTTTATTCTCCCTCTATTCCCTCCAGTATTCTGTATCTATCCCCTCCATTATTCTCCATCTATAACCCCTCCATTATTCTCCCTCTATCCCTTCATGTATTCTGTTCATATCCCCTCCAGTATTCTCCATCTATACCCTCCATTATTCTCCCTCTGTTCCCTCGAGTATTCTGTATTTATCCCCTCCAGTATTCTGTATCTATTCCCTCCAGTATTCTATATCTCCCCTCCAGTATTCTGTATCTATTCCATCCAAAACTCTCCATCTATCCCCTCCAGTATTCTCCATCTATCCCCTCTAGTATTCTCCATTTATCTACGCTCCAGTATTTTCCCTCTATTCCCTCCAATATTTTCCCTTTATTCTCACTCTATTCCTCCCAGTATTCTGTATCTATCCCCTCCAGTATTCTCCATCTATCCACTCCAGTATTCTTCATCTATCTCTCCAACACTATCCCCTCCAGTATTCTCAATCTATCTATCCCCTCAAGTAGTCTCCAATCTATTCCCTCAAGTAGTCTCTAATCTATCCCATCCAGTATTCTCCCTCTATCCTCTCAAGTAGTCTCCAATCTATTCCCTCCAGTAGTCTCTAATCTACCCCCTCCAGTATTCTCCCTCTATCCCCTCAAGTAGTCTCCAATCTAATCCTTCCAGTAGTCTCCAATCTATCCCCACCAGTATTCTCCCTCTTTCCCCTCAAGTAGTCTCTAATCTATACCCTCCAGTATTCTCCCAAGCTTGAGCATCACGCATTTAATTTTAACTGGAAAAATTAATATTATTTGAATTAGAAATGAATCCTTTCCACCAAATCTGTAGGCGCAGTGTAAATATGTTTCAAATGGAGTAATTTGAATTGATTACCAATTACCATGAACATGTTTTTGCCCCCCCCCCCCTCATTCCCATTCACAACCAATAATTTATTATATGTGAGAAGGGGGAGAGTAAAATTAAATCTGCCATATTTTCTTTTAACCTGGCCTGCCACACAACAACTGGGAGGAACCCTGATCTTTCCCTCTTGTATTCTCTATCTATCTATTCACCTACAGTATCCTATATTGAAGGCAATTACGTATAATCGTCTAATAGTGAAAAAAAAAATAAACTTATATGAAATATTTAACAAAAATTTTGTTGACACATTTTATTTAAATTCTGTTACAGATTCTGAATGAAAACTGAATGTTGACGGTGTAAGCATGAATAGGGGACCGACAACTTGTAATTTAGAAGTCAGTCTAAATGAATGAATGAAAGGTGAGTGGGCGGTTATAATCCAGGACTATAGATATTTATAAATTCAACAACAGCTAGGCAAAAGGAAGGTTCCTGAATAAAAGAGTGGGGGGGGGGGGGATTAACATTTTAAATTGGTGAAAAATTTGCATAACTTATCAACCCTGTTATTCGATATGCTAGAGCAGGCTTGATTGAGCACAGTTCTAAAATGTTAAAATCCTAGGTAAATTCAGGTACGTTCAGACCAAGAAAACTGACATCCTTCAATCAAATGTTAAAATAATCTGATCTGTAAATCAATGCGTACTTATTCTGAGAAAATAAGACTAGAAAAAATATTTTGTTTTGAAAGAAGGGATGCCATCTTATTTGAAAGTTTTATCCTTCCCTTTATGCCAACAGTGATAAGATAATATAACACTTTATACAATTTTTTACATAATTCTAAATAGAAATCAACAAGTTAAACTGACAATCCAGAACTCTGCATAAATTTTAATTTTCAACAAATTCAAAACGTGATTTAAGTTAAGTGTCGTGTTTACCACTAGTTAGGTGAATACCAATATTTGTCTTATTCCGACGAATGTCCGGATTGGTTTTAATGAAGTGACAAGCTTTCTTCGTAAAAAGTGACAAGTTTTTTAGTTGTGGAGAGACTAGCAGGGAAGAGATTATAGCTCTGCTATTTTAGATTTTCACTCACTACGTCATGCTATATAGTCCGTACACGCTCTGCGTTAGACTAGGGGACTATGCGTCACTGGTTGAGGGTTCGAGTAGACTACTGCGTCACACCAGCGGGAGGCTCCAGTCGAATTCGCTTCGACTCGGGTTCAGACAGATCGATCTTGTCGATATTATCGCGCTTTTTCATCTCAATCATCGACACGGAGACACTAGGGGTTGAGAGGGCAGGGAGGGGAGTGGAGAGGGAAGGTTGGAAGGTCTTGAGGGAGGAGACAGGGTTGGATGAGTTCGAGAATATCGGATTCCCCGGAGTAAGAATGAGGTTTGATATGGCCGAAGTAGTGATTCCTTTTGAACTAGGACTCAGGAACACAGTGCCACTGAAAAAAAGAAAAAAATTACAGAAATATTTTGATTTTTTTTTTAAAAACCAGCATGATCGGTGTCCAGGATTCCAATTAAAATCGAAAATTACAAAATTGATAAGATTCTTTTGATGTTATTTTTTAGTAATATGTTAATAATGTTAAGTAAATTGTAAAGATTTATAAATATCGCGGGGTACTGATATACATTTGCCTCTAATAGTAAAAAAATATATTAAATGTCAATTTTTTTTAAATAACAATCTTATTACTATTACATTGGTAACTTTATTTTAGAATAAAGTTACCTTTTCTTAGAGTAAAAAAAAGTAAAAATATGTTTCCAGCATAAGTTTTGTCCTAAACCTAAAAAATCTAGGGACCCTCCATAATTGCGTAATGCCTACATACTAATTAAAGGGATTATATGCATGATTTTAAGATGGCATCATTTCAATGCCGGATTCACGTTCATGGAAACAATTATCTAGGTTTTAGACGTGTTTAATTTTAATAATTCCTTTGTTTTCCTGCAGTAGAAATGCGCAATTTTTTTGAAGAAAATCATTTATGACAGTTATCAGTAATCAAAATTATGTACATTTCTATCCAATACATTCATCGTTTATCATTGTGAATCGGGCTTCGTTATATTTAACTAACCTTGAGAAGGGTGTCGAGGAAACAGTGTGGAAAATACGAGGTGGGGAGGTAGAGTCCAGGGGGAGGGACACACTGGGGGACAAGGAGAGCTTGGTTACCCCTGAAGCCACACCCTCTGACAGGATTATCTGTGTACCGGGTGTGATGGGAGTACCCGGAGGCGGGCCCCCGTTATAAATCTTGGCCGGACTCAAATTCAACCTCTTGTAATTCTCAGAACTAAATACAAATAAATCAATAAATTTTGTTAAGACTAACTCATTTTTTAAACAAAAAATGTGAGGTTTTGATTCCTGACAAGGCATTAACCTCCCTACCGTCGTAGGCTGCTGGGGTAAAATTGTTCAGTGTTCAAACATTTAAACACATAAAATATTATTCAAACAGTACGTAAGTCAAAATCTGGTTAAAAAGTATGTTGTATCGTAAAACCTACGACAAATGTATCTTTGTAACTGAAATATGCCAAAGAAGGATTGTGTGCTCTTCCATGGCATATGTAACACCTCGCAATTCGCCTAGAAAGGTCAATAGCCGATCAGGAATAAAAACATTAATTCAAAAATTTTACTCAGTTTTAGAAATTCATCGAAGATAAGATACAAATCCACAAAAATATTTTTGTCATTATCCTTAACTGCACAATAAAGCAAGACTTTCTGATACGACTCTACAAAAAGAAAGAGTTTTAAATACTAAGATTGGAGAAAAATGCACTAGTAAGTTGCTAGTCTCCTTATATTTACCTTAACTGATTAGCTGGATGCAGTACTAGATCTGGTGTACTGCTGTTTACAGGTTTCTGAATTCCAGGAGGAGATGCAGACAGGGATACTAGCTTTGCACCGTTGCTCTTCCCGTTACTTAGCACAAAGCTTCCTCTGTTCTCATCTACTGAACTGCTGAGCACAAAGTTTCCTTTGCTCGCATCAACTGAACTGCTGATAAGAAAGTTTCCTTTGCTCGCATCTGCTGAACTGCTAAGCACAAAGTTTCCTTTGCTCACATCAGCTGAACTGCTGAGCACGAAGTTTCCTTTGCTCACATCTGCTGAACTGCTGAAAACAAAGTTTCCTTTATTCCCATCTGCTGAACTGTTCAGAACGAAGTTTCCTTTGTTTCCGTCGGCTAAACTGTTCAGCATAAGGTTTCCTCTGCTTCCGTCAACTGAACTGTTCAGTAAGAAGCTTCCTTTATTCCCATCTAATGCACTGCTAAGCACAAAGTTTCCTTTGTTCCCATCTACTGAACTGCTTAGCACGAAGTTTCTAGCAATATCTCCACCACTGGTGAGCACAAAGTTTCCAGCAGCATCTTGGTTACTGCTCAACATTGCTAACTGCTGTGTGGGAAGCAGAAGGCGAGATTGACCGGCAACAATAACCTAGAATATTTTTCACGATTAATATCTTGAGCATTAATAAGAATATATTACTAAACTTTAGCTATCATTTTTTGTCTGGGTACTTAAATGATTAAAAAACATTTTCTAGTTAGTGATAAAACCCCTATATTTTTATGGCATGGGGTAGGGCTGATCTTTACAATAAAGTTATTTTCGATTAATATTAACGAGGATGGTCGGATCATAACGTCAAACAGATACTTTTTTTCCTGTAAAAAATGTAATTGTGTTTATGACAGGTCAGGCCTAAAGATACAAAGTTATAAACTTTCCTGATTATTAAGACAAATAAAATAAATATTCCTACCTCCAGCCCCGGCTTGAGATACTTTGACCTCTATAGTTGTAATCTGGTCTTTAGGACTGCCAGTTCTGTATACAATCTAAACAATAGTATTGACTAGTTCTGTATATATTACTAGTATTATTATTGTTATTCAAAATAAGTGATATTAAAAATTAATTTAATTGAAATCTTTATACTTTATTATGTGTTTACCAAAATCATGATATTTCTAAAAACAGTGAATTTTCAGAAAAAAATACTTTCCACAGATTTGTTGCTTGTTAGTTTAAAATTTGAGCCCTTCCCTATAATTATGACTAGCGACTNTAAGGGACCCCGCCCCGTAATTATGACTAGCGACTACCTCCATTACACCGCACTGTACTAATGACTAGTGACTGCCTTCTGTGGTAAGGGACCCCGCCCTGTAATAATTACAAGCAACTATCTCCTGTGGTAACGGACCCAGCCCTGTAATAATGACAAGTAGTGACTACCTCCTGTGGTAACGGACCCCGCTCTGTAATAATTATTAGTAGTGACTACCTCCTGTGGTAACGGACCCCGCCCTGTAATAATGATTAGTAGTGACTACCTCCTGTGGTAACGGACCCCGCACTTAAATAATGATTAGTAGTGACTTCATCCTGTGGTAAAGGACCCCGCACTTTAATAATGATTAGTTGTGACTTCATCCTGTGGTAACAGATCCCGCCCTGTAATAATGACTAGTAGTGACTACCTCCTGTGGTAACGGACCCCACCCTGTAATAATGATTAGTAGTGACTACCTCCTGTGGTAACGGACCCCGCCCTGTAATAATGATTAGTAGTGACTACCTCCTGTGGTAAGGGACTAGGTTCCCTGGATAATGATTCTGGTGTCATGAGTCCGGACACACTAAGTCCACCGTGCTGCGGACTGACCGGGGCACTGCGGCTAGAACTTAGGTACGGAGTCCGGAAGCAAGGAACACCACGCTGACGTCGCCGACGAAACGCCTGAATTTTCACTTGTATCAATTTCAATTTATTTTTCTAAGGTTTTTATGACCTATTTAAACCATTTAAACAACGTGGACATGAGTTCAATATCAAAATCTATTACCGTTTAATCTTTTCTCTGTCTAGCAACAAGGAGAAAATTGTTGTTGTTTTAATCTTGTGAAAGAGAAATTTAGTTTACTTCGCAGCGTAAATCCGTTAGTTAATTTTGTAAATAAACTCGATAAAAAAACTATTTATTTTTAACATTGGTTCTGACGAAGCCATTAAGTTAAAAGACGTTGTAAATCGGGCATAAAACTTGTATACTGCTTTCCATTTAATGATAAAGATATTTTCTTCTTCTCTGGGGGTGGACTTCTAAAACTGACCTGCTCGACTAGTTTAGTCTCAGATCCCGGATCTATTCTCCAAAATGATCCTTTCCCCGGCTCCTCCTGACTCCTCGCTACTTTCACAAAATATCTAAACCACGGTAACTTATTAGAACTAGGAAGATCTTCCACCATTATTCATTAACAATAATATTTCTACTAATATCAAATGTATTGTGAGTGTGTCTTATTATTTGCTTTCCAAGAAGCTTTGAGGGGACTGCGTGATTTTAAGTGACCCTCTATGCAGAGATGGTATTGCCTAATTTATTACGGTATTCTTAACACCTTAATCTGATTAAAAATGTGGAAGATATCGTCTTTTTTTCTGACTCGAATACTGTTAATTTCTGTAACAAATTCACACCTTTTTCAGACTAAGGTTTCAAGGGTACCGTACAAAATATGATTTTTTTACAATTTTGAGACGACTTGAAGATCTTGAAGATTTGTCACTAATCAACCTAATTTTTCAAGTATTGTCCTTGAAAATATAAACAATAAGTATACCTAATTCTGCCATTTTTATAATGTGTTAGAGCCTTTTTTGTGCTTTCAAAATTACCAGATATGAAGCGTTTGCTTGATAAAAAATTCTGAACAAAGTCATTTATATCCCCTAGAGCTTAGGAAAGAATGCATCATGTTAGTAAATATAGGCTAATAAATTGAATTCCGGAACTCATTTCTTAGATTAAAGTCGATTTTCAAGTGTTCATGTTATTGCATTCCGTCTGGTTTTATTATGATTCAGTTAATGTTCACAAAACAGGGTATAAAATAAATAAAATTAATAACAAAACAAAAAGTG